CCACTATGGAATTGTCAACTTTGAAAATATGACCCCCCAAACACACAAACCCCCCACCGTTGTTCATCATTGAAATAGTGACATAATTTAAAGAGACACAGAATAAAAACTAATCATCACACACAAGAAAAAATTGTATCTTGAGAAAGAGAAAATATTAAACTTTGTTTACATACTAATTTTATTAAGATAGCCTTGACAATAAACCAGATATCAGCAGTTGAAATGAAAGGAAATTTCAATATTTTAACATGTACATAAACTTGGTCAGTTTGTGATATCTAACATTAGACAAAATATCTCCCCCACCCATCTATTTCTCTCCCCCACTCCTCATTTATGTGGGAACATCTTTGTGTTTTGTGATTTTGCACATTAAATACAAAAATCACAAAATCAACCCAACTGGAATTCAAACTCAAGCTTGGATGTAAACTTGGATGTACGAGTGGTTTCCTGTTCTCTCCAAACTCTACAATAAATGCCTTGCTGCATCCTGCTTGTTAGAAATCCTCTTCTGTAGTTCCTGTTTTTAAGAACTCAGATAAACCATCCAATTCTAACTATCAAACTATTAGTATTCTACCTCTTTTTGGCAAAGTACTAAAGGCTCTAATCAATTCTGAATTGGTTAAACATCTCATCTTACAAAATCTACTTTAAGCAATATGGCTTTTGCTTCTCTAGGTCAACTGCTGATGTATTAATGATTATTGCTAAGTTTATCAAACTTTAAACAAGAATGGTGAAGCTTGGCTGTTGCTTTAGATATCTTGAAAGTGTTTGACAGGCTGGTTTTCTTTACAAGTTGAGGAATTATGGCATTTCTGACCAAATGTTTGATCTTTCTTATTAGATTGTGAAATGAAAGTTTTCTACTAGAATCCTTTTTACTTTAATGCAGGTGAAAAGGGGCTCTATCTTTGGACCTACTTTGTTCCTAATTTTTATCAATGACCTTCCTGATGTCATCACTTCTTGAATTTACATCTATCTACTCTTGATTCAATGGTAAGTCTGATCAGTTCAATAAGGTCAAATTGGCAGCTGATCTTAAAAATAACCTTCAATCTGCTATTAACTGAGACAAGAAATGAACAATTATATTGAATCAATTTTGCTATAGGTTTGTTGCTAGGAAATTTATTTCACTGTGTCATTCTAGACAGTTTTTCCTTGCCAGAATCTATCTTAAATTTAACATTTGTTTGTGCATTGAATATTGCTGCTACACTGAGTCTAATACTTCTGCCATGTATCTATATAGAGAATTTGAAAAAAAATCAAAGAGAAAATCTGCAATGTTATCAGTCCTGATCTGGTATTTCAGCTTCAGTCACTTTCCCCTGTCATAACATAGCCTCCCTTTGCCTTTTTTTATTAAAAGTTTTTTGGTAATTGTTCTGGTGAGCTTTCGTCTTTGGTACCTCAATTTCCTGAACTTGAATGCAGTACTAGATTGGCAGCAAGGTCTCATTGCTTTACAGTTGAAATTGCTAGTTTAACCATAAGTGCTATGCTAACAATTTCTTCTTTCATACTTCTCATTTGTGGAACTCTCTTCCAGTGTCTTGCTTTCTTGTCAATTATGACCTTCAAAAATTTAAATGCAATGTCAATCATCATCTCCTGTCTTTTTGAATCCTTCTCTTTTATTGTGCTTTTTTATCAATAACATTGTCTCAGTTTCTACTTCTCTTAGTAAACCTTTGTGTTTTAGTGGCTTTATCATCTTGTTTGGGGTGAAATGATTGAAGTAAATATTCCTCTTTCTGTAAATGATTAAAGTAAAATAGACTGACAATTCATTTTGTAATCATTGGCACAAAATAGTTGATTTTTTTTCATTCTAATAGTCAACACAAAGATATATTAGTACATATAAAACTTTCCACAGTGTACAAATACTATACTGATTATAGGTAGGAGGTTAGGAAAGTGACACTTTAATCCTAGGTCAAGTACACAGATACTGATTTTAGACTCAAATCTGAGCACAAATAATATTTTAATGGATTTTATTCTTGTGGCATTAATAAACTCTTTTAGAAAGATATTGGTTCTAGCATAATAGATTTAATATTTAAACATTAGCAACAGACTTATATAAACCTTTATCATGATTCAGTTTCAACTTTGTGTAGAAGATTATCCATATGAAGTTTAGTAAAACTTCAAAAACACTATACATTACCAAATGTTCCCAGTTATTAATTTCAGATATATACATTTTTATTCATACTTTATGAATAAAGAAGACTTTTAAACAAATCACGGAACAACAAATATTAAGAGAAATCACACCCACACTGAAAAGATGTCATTTCATCACACATAGTTTCATAACAAAAAAAAAAAAAAAATATTTTTATTACTAATTTGGTTATTTTATAACATCATCCCATATATTTTATGACTCATAGTATCTACCAATCACAAAAGTTCTATAAGTATTTTCTGTACAAAGTGGTACTGCAAATTAGTTGTTTTCAAACACACACACAGAAGAAAAGATGCCTTTCAATGACCAAATATCAAAATCTAATTCTTGGGAAATAGATAAGGCTGACAACTTTTCAGTACATGCCAGATATATTCAATAATACTGTATCTGTATAATACATTTTACAATTATAGCATACACTTATAAGTTGGTACTACTTGAATTATCTAAGTGAAAAGAAAAATTGAATACTAAAATTTATTCCACAAGACCAATTGTAGATAAACAAAAGAAAACTAAAATATGCATATTTTAGTCAATCTTTCTCAGAGTTAACATAATAAACAGAATTGATTTCATATTAACTTATTCTTTTATTAATATTTACAAGACAACAAAAAGTATCCACATTTGTTAGATAATTTCATTTTGATAATTTTAATATTTTTCAGAATGACTATTGCTTCAAATTTACACTGCATTACATAAATTATTTACATTGTTTCATTTTCACCCAGAACCTGTCTAATAAAAAAAAAATGTCATTCTGAAGTTGTTAATTATTGTTGTCATAATTATTATTCTCAAACAGAAACATAATTATTAATATGAAAATAACTTGAACTAAATTTTTTTGTTCAGTTTTACAATGTTGAACCACATCAAAAATTATTATTTAATTAGATCATAATAATAATAATAATAATATGCTGTTTTTATGCATAAAGTCATTTATTGTTTTAAGATATAAATCATGTTTCATTTAGATCTGGTAGAACAATATTTGGAGCCCAACTGTAACATTTTAAATTCATAGGAGCTCACTTACAATATGGAGGCTTTCTTCTAAAGATGACCAACATCATTTGTATTTATTTTCATTTCAAGAATAAGGAAAAACTTAAAACTAATTTTCTGGTACATAAGATGTTTTAACAGTGTAAACTGCACAAAAAATATAAATAAAATTAAATATAATTCAAAGAGTAAAATATGTAAATAAAAGTCATCCAATTTAACCAATTTAATTTGGTTATTTTAGTTTAAACATTTTGCTTAATGACATTAAGTAATTACTTCTATGCATAATTAGATGGATATCATGGCAATCATTTTTCTTATCTAAATGCCAGTTTTTCTTTGTATAATCAGAAGTATCAAGGTTTCTTATTTTCAAAAAATATAACAAACAAAAGCATACTTTTTGAAAATCCAGGAAATAAAACCAATGATTATCATCCCTGTCTAATGAAATTTCTCAAAGTTCTAATGTCATATTGACAATTGAGTAGCAAACACCATATGAAGACAGATGAATTAATAACAATTATCAAATCAAAAATGACTAAAAATAGGCATTGATAAATTGTGTTAATCCTTAAAATTCCATCTGTATGCTGCATGACTTTGTAGAATATTATTATTATCAAACAAAATAAACTGAAATCAGGACTCAAGAAAAGATCATGTTAATTTTTCACTTAATCCTTGTCAAAAATAGTAGATTTATGGCAAAATAATGTGAGGAGGGGGATGAGACAAAATTTTTAATTAAAATTCCTTTCATTCTAAAAAGCAACTAATTATTTTAAAAATTCTTACTTCCCAGCAAAACAAAATTTATATGCTGTATTTTGCTTATCATAAATTAAATTGAAAATACAAGATGAATTTAAGAAATTATAATAAAATATGGAAGATTTAGTCACAATGTAAGGCAGATAACTTTAAAATGGAAAAACGTTCATGAAAAACATGTCTTGAATTTTCCAAAAATTAATAACTTATAATTCTACCTGGATTACACACCCAAATTTATTACATGCTGTTGAGATGGAGAACGCATGAATAAAACAATACTTTAATTTATTTTCTACCTATTCTGAATAATTTATATCTCAAAATGCAGAGACTTAAAATCAGAGTATATATATATATATATATATAAATAAAATAATGGCCAAGTAAAGACATATATATAAATATTTACTTTATTATTTAAGCATTAAAATTTATTATGTAAAAATCAAATACAAGGTTTCTAACTCAAGAAAAAACTAGAATGCTCAAAAATTAACAGCAACAACATGTCTAGAAAACTGGCAACAATTGAAAAAAAAAAAAAGAAAAGATTAAGGAGAGAGTGTAAAGTGAGAAAAAAAAAAAAAAAAAAAAGAATCAAGAAGTATATGCAGTCAATTGCTGATACCCCTAAAGAGTTGACAAAATGACTCCATCTATAAAAATCTGGAGCTGGGATGCTGAAGGTAACATCAATCAGTTAAGTGCCAAACCTATTACACACACACACATATATATATATATATATATATATATATATATATATATATATATATATATATATTATATACACACAATAAATATTTTATATATCATTCACTAAAAAAAAAAAAAAAAAAAAAAAAATTCAAACCTATTATTATACAAAAAGAAACAATCTGCATTAAGTAAAATATATTTCACCACAAGGAACATCATTTCAACTGTATAAAAATCTCAACCAATAATCACAAGTAATAAATTAATGATTTAATACCTTCCAGTATTCATACTTGGACTGTCATCATTGGCAGAATTTTGAAGAAGAGGCTGTCTGGCAGCTGCATCTGCGGAATCATCTCCCTTTATTTGGGGTTGGTGAAAAATAAAAGAAAAAAGAGCATCTTGAAAACTATTTGAAAAAGAAATCATTGAAAGATGTAATTATATAATGTCAGAATAGTATACCACCTCAGTTCACTTGTTTGTATATCCATGGCAACCCAACATACCCTATAATGATTCATGGAACCCGATCATGAGTGGTTGGACACTACCACTACATTCTTGTATACCTGTATAAGAATCCTACAGTATAATAGCATTCCTGACACTACCACCCAGTGGTAGAACTTTCTCTGAAAAACATTGTGTATTTCTGCATTAAATTCCACTGTGGGACCATGATAACTCTTTTCTCCAGGACCTGGGGTTTGGATGGAGATTAAAGATGCAAGAGAAAACTCCAAAGAAAAAAAACTAACACTCTACAGGTTTATTACAATGATATATGTATGTAGATAAGTATGTAACATCAGTTAGCTTGTGGGTACTGCCTTCTACTCAACTGAAGGGCAACCTGAGGGATACTATCAAATCATATAAATATTATCAATGTGTATTTATTTATACATTTCCTGTCCCATCTGTAGTGGGAAGGGAGGTAAATCAACTTGTTAGTAAATTTATGAGTGGTTACTTCCCATAATTATTTTAATAATCTATACAAATAAAATATTTATCTGCTTTTAAACAAAATTACTTCCTGAGCAAAATGAAATGCTTAATTAAACAATTCCTTTACTCCTATATTTCTTAGATTGCAGTTTTATTTGTTCAAGCTTTTCATGTGAGGCACTCAAATACCCTTGTCTCTTAAGTGTTCATCTTGCTTCAACTTGTTCTTGAAATAGGCTTTGTTGTCATTGCTAATCATTTTCTTCCCAGAGATATTTCTATTTCTGTGTTATATTAAACACAAATTTTTTACATGAAAAAGTGACTTATATAATGCCAGGAGTAATCAATAAATCTTAGATATCATTGAACATTTAAAAAATATAAACAGAATAGATTAATTAAACAGTTCATTGGCCTCTATTTTAGCTGTGAATTCTTTATCTCTGCTAAATTGAATCTCAGTACATTGTTTCAATGCATCTATCTATTAAAACTTTCTAAAAATTGCTATCATTTTTGATGGCACAGGTACACTAGTACTTCAAATAGTGGCCATTGGTATTTCATATAGAAATAACAATAAGGACACTGCAATTGAAAAAGAATGCAGTTGAAAGAGAAGTAATATTAATAATGCAGAGTGCTAAAGGTTAAAAAAATACTTTAGTAAATATAATTAAATATAAATACTAGAGTCAAAGTATTGACAAGGAAATAGGTACACTAATGAATAAATTTATAAATTTACCTGTTTCTACTACATCTATTCTTGTTCAGTTACATTTTCCTGTATTTTTCTAGACATTTTGTTAATCTTTTTAATGTTTTATAAGGTAAGTATCAAATATACTTTCACTTGTAACATTAAATACAGTATATATTAATCAAATGTTTACTTATTGAGAAAATAATCCTCCAAATTTTATTATAAAAGCACTCATCTTTGAAATTGAAACTATACTTTCTGCTGATTCTAAAATGGTTGATTTTGCAAATATTGTACTCAGATCTTAAAAATAACTTTATATATTAGTCATGCTAATTTTATTTTCCTCATTGGGAGTCCATCAAGAGCTGTTAGGTTGTAATAAGAAAACAGAGAAGGTACCTAGTTGATGGACTCCCAATAAGGCATTGATCACATACAATTAGCATGTATTAATGTATTCTCTTTAGGTTTTCTTAATTTCATAATTCTAATATATATAAGTGAAAAACAATTTCATTTATGTTGCCAGAAGATAATTTTAGTCAAGCAAATCTATAAAATGGAACACAATTTCCAAGTAACTTTTTTTTTTACATGAAACATGTTAAAGAGATTATAGAAAAAGACAAGATGAAATAAAGGTAAAAATTGTGGTTAAATATAGATAACTCCAAAAATTGAAAAATCTTTCTTGAAGCTTTTATTTTAGTTTTAATTTCAAGCTAATAGATTAAATCTAATATTTCCAATAAGCAAAATAACTTATTGTATTTCAAACAGAATTTAAACTGAGTGGAATTATTTTTTAAATCACTAAAATTGACTATATTGACAAATCTGTCAACACAACATAATTTATTAAAAAAATAAAAAATAAGAGATAATTTTCTGAAACTATTTGAGGAAGATTAACCAATTTAAAGTTTAATCTGAATTAAAACAAATATTACTTACATTTAGTTGAAAATATTGCAGAAAAGCATTTTTTTAACACAGAGGTGTTTTTTTTTTATGGGTACTGATACATTTGTTATTAGCCTGATGCTTATGAGACTCATGTAAAGGAAAAATACTTGTAAAATTATATGACAAATACAATGAAAGTGCATTTTTTAGAGAATTTTAAAATATTTTAAACATTGTAATATTTTATTGAATTTTAGGTAATTTGGCTTTACAGTTTTATTTACAATCACGTTTATTTAGGAAATGTTAGAAAATTATCAATTTAAATTTATTATAGTTACTGCTCTTATTTTCTGATAATGTTGTGTATGGAAATCCATATTTACAAAAGTTAGAATGTTTAAACACACAAGAAAAAATTAAAAATATTAAGTGGGAGTATTGCTTAATTGTCATAAGCTTTTCCATTCATGATTAGTAAATATAGCTTTTATTTAATAACAATATTGCTTGACCGAAACAAGCTAAGGAAGTTGATTCACTGTGTCATTCTAGACAATTTTTTTTTCTCTAGAATCCATCTTCTAAGTCTGCCTTCATTCATGATTTGAATATTGCTACCACATATGGTGTGGTACTTTTGATATATATTTAGAGATTCTTGATAAAATCCAAAGAACAATCTGTAATGTTATATTTGTCCTGACATCTCAGCAGCAGTCACTTTCCCACCACTGCAATATAACTTCTCTGTTGCTTTCCATAAATACTTTCATGGTAATTGTTCTGATAAAATCTCCTTTATAGTACATAGACTTTATGAATTTAAGTGCAGTACTAGATTGGCAACTAGGTCTCATCATTTTACAGTTGAAATGGTGAGAAGTAACTGTAAGTAGTATGCTGTTTATTTTCTTGCACTTCTTACTTGTGGAACTATCTTCCAGTCTTTTCCAGCCAACTTTGATCTTCAAAAATTTAAATGCAATGTCAATTGTTATCTTCTGTTCTTCTTGATTCCTCTCCTTTTATTGCTTGTGCTCCATAATAATATTTTCCTTTTTCTTATATTCTTTCACACAGGAACATTGTGTCTTAGTGGCTTTATCGCCTTGCTTGGAGTGAAATGATTAAAAAAAATAGTAATACAGAATTTTAAGATTTAAAATTTTATAAAGTTTTCTAATTAAAATTTTTAAAAAATGAAAACGTTTGACAAAAATTGATTTGATCAAAAATTTCTAATTAAATAATGTCTTGGTTTATTTTGATTTTATGATTCAGAGCAGATTTTTTGATTAAAAAAAATGAATGACTTCTCGGAGGACTTGTCACCTTAAAAAGTGAAAGTGCTGCAAAAACAAAAAGGAATTACTCGAAATTTCATAAAAATAAAATTAAAGAAATGTGAGAACAGATATAAAAAAAAATTATTTTTACTAAGATTTTCTAAAAAAGAAACGCTTCTAAAATTTCATTAAAATCTGACGATTTTTTTTTTTTTTTTGCAGGAATTTTCAAATCAATGTTTTTCTTCGCCACTAAAAAGATACAGAAATTTCTCATGGGCCCCATTTGACGCAAAAAAAAAAAAAAAAATAGTTTTATTAACCAGAATTTCGGAGGTTCGAAAAAGGATTAAAAAATAATTTGTTGCATCCAAAACATACCTTGATTATTTTTTTAGCATTTTTAACACTTGATTTCAATCTGAGCTAGTGAGTCAGACAAAAGTTCATTTATAAAATAAAAATAAAATGACAATTGCTTCAAGATTAGGTATTCAATTCCTTTAAAACAAATTTACTTTCCTAAGTAACTGAACGGTATTCAACTGAATATGTGCTGATACAATAATAATTAATTTAAAAAAATCCTCATAACTTACATTTTTTTAGGCTAATATTTCAAACACTCTTTACGTTCCATTTTTTATGTTTGATCGTTCATTTATTTGGTAAACTTAAAATTAAAAATGTTCTAATTATTTCTTTGGGGTAAGGATTGTCTTATTTTTATAACTTATTAAATAACAAATTATCATCATAGCTTTCAAGGAATATTTTTCACACCTATTGCATATAGGTGTAAAAAGATTCCTTACCTCTTTCTATCAGATTCTTCTTGCCTAATTCTTGTTTTTTGGTATATGTAAGTGTTCAGGAGACATCCAATACCAAAGCAGTATTCTTTAGATTGAAAGTTTATGGAAAAAATGAAGAAAAGTATCATTAACAATTAGGCATTAAACAACTACTTCCTTCATTAATAGAACATAACGCATATATAATTTTATTATTTAATTACATTATTTGACGTCTCCATGAATTTTTTTATTAATTGTAAAAAAAAAAAAAAAAAAAAAAAAAAAAACTAAATTCATAAGTATGAAAAAAGTGGGTAGAAAAAATTAAAGAATTCTTTATTTTACAAGAAGTAACTCATGCTAATAAGGTTTTTTTTTTTAAATATATATTTTTTTATTAAGCATTTATTTTACCAGATGAAATATGGTGACGGAATTATGAATAGACAAAAAAAGTAAAACAGTTATGAGTTAATTCAACCAAATGATTAAAAATCGAATATGCATACAAACCGTGGAAAATAATTTTATGGTTCTTATCGTTTTTCTGTTTTATTTACTGATAATGCTTATCAATCACGAGGCTATTTAAACTTATTCAAGTTTAAAATTTTGCAAAATCAAAAAATTATTTATTTTATAACAAGTGTTTATCATCGTTTCATATTCACGGAATAAAAAAATAAAAAACCCAATAAACACCAGTTTTAAAAACGTTTGATCTAACTGGGAGGATTTATAGTTCAAGCACTTAAATAAAATTACAGCAACACTTATATTTTTAATGAATAAAAAATAAAAAGCTAGATTGCGATTATCAATTTTCACAAATTTAAGAAGTTAGGTTGCTAAAAATAACATCAACAACTAGTAAAAATAAAAAAAAATTGACAATAAATTTTATTACAAATGTACAAGAAGAGTAAGAAGACACATTGTTTCAACAATACAAGCAATTAAAAACTTAATGCCAAGTATTACATATTCCGTAATAAACATGAAAAAGCTAAATGTTAACTTATAAACTTTAAAATGAAAATTATCACACTTTTATAAACAACTGCAAATTATAATAGGTCCCACAATGAACATTAGATGCCCACATTGGGAAATAATAGGAAATATTTTTCCATGCTCACCGATGTAAAATAGCCAATCATTATGCGATTTTCAAGCCAGTGACTACAGAGAATTAGTTCCTGAATTAAAGCTTTGAAACCGAAGAATGACAAAATACACACACACAAGTGAATATCTTCTTAGACTTTTGAACTAAGAACTGAAATTATTAAATAAAATCAATTAATATAGAGAGCATTATATATTAACAATTTGAGAATACATTAAGTACTCGAATAAAGCATTTTAAACCATCTCAGTAGTTTTTTTTAATGAATCACAATAAAAACAAGAAAAATGGAATTTGTAAGCAAAAATCTTCATCTGAGCCAAAACGATTTGGACGGTAAACTTCAAAATTGTTAAATCTGTAAGGCATAAAGAAAATTCCCACTTCATATTAACAATATTGTTTATTTATTTTCAATAAACATTTTTTAGAAGGTATTTCTGGAGGTTTCGTACAAATATTTTTCATACCAATGACACACTGCTCGCATTATTATTAAAATAAAAAAATGTACCAACCTTGTCGTTATTTTGTTCATTACTATAACAACACCCCATTTCTCGAACACTGTAGTAAAATTGACTTAAAACTTATCGATTTTTTTTTAGTAATTATTTTCCTTTAAAAGTTAAAACCTTTTCTTCTGGGTGGTTTCGGGAGGAAGTGATCAAAACTAACGTCTTATCACATGACAAAATTGCACTGTTTAATGTTTCGTATAATTGAAAATGATTCCTTTAATCTTTATCTAAAACAGATACTCTTTATTTTATCATTATATGTACATTCTAAGTTATTCTCTAATATGTATAGTGCATTTTTATAAAAATAATAGAAACAGTTAATTTTTTAACTTTCAATGTTTAAGAAATTTGAATGCATTGTTTCGTATTTGTTAAAAAATTGTCGGACTTTGATATAAACATTTTTTTTCGACATGAATTTGTTTTTTGTCCTAACCTTAAGGGAAATTCTTAAATTTTATTCAGTATATACATCCGAAAAAAATGAAATGATTATAGAAAAAAATGAAACAAGAAAGAAATATGCAGAAACTTAAATTAATGTTATTATTAGCAATTTTAAAAGAAATATTTTTTGTGAAATGCATTCGCACACATTAATGTTTTTTTAGCCGAGGATCATTGGGGGTTTTCAACAGACCCGAAACCCCTCTAAACATAACTTAAATTTAAACAAATATTCTTATTTTATGATTTATCTATTAATTATTATATTTATTTTTCATTTTTTGTTTTTAAAATTAAAACCTGATCTCACACTGCTAAAATCGGTAACTTAAATTTGCTTTCCAGTTTTAATTCAAATTGAAGATAAAATTTGCTTTCCAGTTTATATTTCAATTGAAAAGATCTAAAATTTGCTTTCCAGTTTATTCAAATTAAAAGATCTAAAACCGAGAATGTTCCTATATAAAATAAATTAAATACAAAGTTTTTTGTTTGCAATTGTTTTCCTTTATTATCCTTCTTTCGTTTGATTTTTACCTTCGATTTCATTTCGATCAAAGTTTAAAGCATGTGTTCTTACCTTTTTAATCTATTACCAGGTCAGCTGCTAAAAACAATTGGTCTCCCAATAAATTAACTAATTTAAAAATATGGTCCCAACTCTACACAGGAATTACCATATTTCAAAAACTAAAACTTTAAATTTAATTATAGAATTAAATTAAAATCCAGAGTAGTTTCATTTTCAAACGATATGAAACAGAATTAAGAATTTTAATTCTACAATTAAATTTAAAGTTTTAGTTTTTGAAACATGGTAATCCCTGTGTAGCGATGGGACCATATTTTTAAATTAGTAAATTTATAATGTTTATGCTCTACAGAATTGTATTGGACACTGTTTTTTAAAAATAAAAATAATTAATAAGAACACCCGATTATAAATCTTACTGTTCTTTCTCATTATTTTAATATAAATATATATATATATAGAGAGAGAGAGAGCTCAATGTTTTTATTTTAACAGAGCATATGTATTTTTACAGCAAAAAAAAACAAAAATTACCTCAACATAGAGATAGTCTATTTCAAGCTGTTCTGTATGCAGCTATCATCAGCCTCTAGGTGTCTGTCTTGGAGCATTGTTTTAAATTTATTTTCAATGTCAGTCCTTTTCTGGTAGATGCCTTGTTAATGAGAATGGGTTTGTGTTAGCGATTGATGGGGACATAAGATATATACTCGGGGAAGCAATGTGGGGTTGGAGTTTATTTATGGCCACAACCTTTATTGTTTGTAGTTTAATATCAGTTCCTAATATGTGGCATTTCTTATACAGGTCCCCAGTGTGTTTTTCTGGGATTCACAGTAGATAGGTTTTGTACTACAGGTGTCCAATATCATTAATAAGTGATGGAGGATTTAAACTTAAACCTGTTAAGATTAATGCAAATTAGTTGAGTTATAGATTTATAGATTGTGGGTAATACCAGAGCACCCAATGGAATAAATCATGTTGTCCAACACACTTATATGAGTACATATCTTCATACATATGTATATGTACATTTACGTGTCCATACATATATGTCACTATACATACACATACACCCCCACATATATGCACATGTATTATTATATAATTTGGAATTTTTTCTATGTCTGCATTTTGTGATTAGTTCACTTTTGATTTAATAGTTTGCATTGATCTTTATATTTTATCATCCTGCTCTTTTCTTCTAAACATAACTTGCACCTATATATATATATATAGAGAGAGAGAGAGTGATTTTCCAAGCGTAGCTTGGATGTGGCACAAGGCCGAAAGTAAGGGGTAGCGAGTGAGGATTGAACTCACTACTCAATCGTAATTGTTCTAGTGAGACAAACTTGCTAACCATTACACCACCCCGAGGTGCCCCATATATATATATAATTAATACATGTAAAAGTTTTGTCAATTAGATGATTGATGTTACCTTCAGAATTTGGACAACAGAGTTTTATAGACAGACACTCCAGGAATTACTCCATCTACTTGTCAGGGGTATCAGGAATTGACTGCTTATACTTCTCAATTTTTCTTTTTTATATGCACTTTTCATTGGTGCATTTTTTTTTCATAGTGTGTGTGTGTGTGTGCATTTGTGCACATGTGCCTGTATGTGCATACTTGCAGAATGTTGTATTTATATGTTTTTATTGTTTTTTTTCATTTTTCATTAAGAATATATATATATATATATATATATATATATATATATATATATATATATATATATATGTGATATGGCACATTGAGTGTTGGTATTAATAAAATAGTCTTTGATGTAGAATAACAAAGCTATGATTTAATTTATATATTAATAATAAATTTACATTTCATTTTTTTCCTCACAAGTAGTACAACTCTGAGTTTCATGCACAATGCAATCTTCAGATCCGAAGATTGCATTTTACATGAAACTCAGAGTTGTACTACTGGTGAGGAAATAGGGCCATAGCAGCTGGGGATTGGGGGTGCCTGACTCAACCAATTTTTTTACCAATTGTAGTACTTCTTACAGGGTTTCATTTTAACAAAATACAAGAAAGAAAGAAAAAACTATCAAAGCAAGAATATAACTTTCATAAAACCTTGATGAAAAAATTTTTCTTTAAAGGTGTATGATGATGGTAATTTCCCCTTATCACTTGGGTGCATTTTCATTTTAATTTGGAATTGTGGTGAGTCCAATAAAATAAAATGTAAAAATAAAAACATATAAACAAATAGAAAAGAATTCAAATTAAAACAAAGCATTTGATTTCCCTTCTTAAAATCCTTATCTCTTTCTCTATGTTTCACTCTCTTTCTCTCTAATGCAAATCTTCCAACAATATTTGAAAGGGTGAGATCCCTAAGTGCAGTACAAATAATAAGTATTATTACTGGAGTCTTAAATCTCATCAAACTCATTCTTCACTGCTTAAAAGAGTTAAAGTAACCATATTACAATTTAGCGGTTTGATGATAATGAATGCACACAAAGATATGATTGATTCAATTGATGTAATAGAAGCTGCAAACTCGTTTTCTGAAAGGAAAATCACATCAAAGTCTCCTATTTGAGAAATTTTCAAGACACAATCTTCCCCAAAACGCTAAAACACTCAATATTGGAATACAGACAGGACAATAACTTAAAAAATGTTCTTGTAATTGTTTTATTTTTTTTCAAACTCAAATAAAAATAACTAAGTAAAAAATATTTTTTTCCTTCATTATTTTCCTTGTAGACATTCAAAAAAGCTGAAAAATTCATTCAATTTGTAAATCAGATGGTTCTCTATTATTTCAAAGATGATTTCTGCCAATCTAGAGGTAATGGAAATGTTCTTGCTGTTAACTATGTTTGTGGCTTTTGATAATTTAAGGCAAAATTCTAAAATTTTTGCTCCCTCCTCTGCCAACATTTGTTTCTGCTACAGCCATGGATATATGGGAAAAAATGTATGACAAAATGGAAAATGTTTTCTTGTGATGTGTTTTGCCCTTTAGGATATCATTAGACTAAATTTGTTGTTGGTGTAATTACGCATGCTCATGAAAGAGGGATGGTCAGAATTTAAAATTTTTATTGGATGTGTGTGTGTGTATGTATATATATATATATATATATATATATATATATTAAAAAGTAGATAGAAACCACAAAAGTTTTAGGTTGTAATGTGGATTTTTTTTAAAAATATGCTTTATATAATTTTTTTTAAAAATCCAAAATGTTTGTGGTTTCTCTCTTTTTTTTAATATACACAATTTTCTCTCATTGGAACTACTATAACCTCTTCCTTTATATATATATATATATATATATATATATATATATATATATATATATATTTGGTTGGATAGATGTGAGTTTGTGACCGTGGGTTTCACATTTCACGCTTTTAGCGATGTCAGACAAACTGATTAATTTTTTTTAAAATTTTGGGTTTATGTAGATTGCGTGTATTGGTGTTATTTACACACACACACACGCACATATATATATATATATATATATATATATATATATATATATATATAAAAATCCAATCAATTTAAATTCAGTTTGAAATACTTCAAAGTATTTTGCTTATTGAAGTATTAAATTTAATCTATTAGCTTGAAATTAAAACTAAAATAAAAGCTACAAGAATGAATTTTTCATTTTTATAAATTCATTTATAAATTAATTTTAAACTTTAGGTATTGCTTTTTGGGGGTGTAGCTATATATATATATATATATATATATATATATATATATATATATATATATATATATATATATGATCGCTAAAGCGTGAAACCCAGGATCACAAACTCACATCTATCAACCAAATATAATATATATATATATATATATATATATAAACTTGAAAAAACTTTGATCAATTTGTAAATTTCTAATGTGCAGCTTAAAAGTGTGTGTTTTTGCATTGCTTTTACTACAAATGAAAGATAGTAGTAATTTCTATACCTAATTAATAACATTAAAATGTTAGTGATAACTTCACTAATACTAAATACTGCAAGGATTTAACACACATCAGCAT